TCTCCCCCTCTCTTCCTTCTCTCCCCTCTCTCCTCCCTCTCCCCCTTCCTCTCCCCCTTCCTCTCCCGCTTCCTCTCCCTGTGTCTCTTTCTCAGGCTCCTGACCAGTCATCAAAAGTCCGAATTTGTTGTGGCTCTGTGGACAACGCATATCTCTATTCTATGAGGATATCCTGCTCTGCGCTGCTGGCCAGCCGCGCTCGGCGGACATCCTCATGATGCGTATGGCGATGACGAACATCCTCATGATACGCTTTTGGAGGATGTGTGTGGGGGTAAGATGTCGCAAAGGTGATAATTGCTGACATCCTCGTATATATATCGTCACACCGTGTATCGGAGCGCAAAGGCGAAAAAAGACAAAAACCAAAAAAGGAAAGGAAAGAAGGAAGAGGGAAGGAAGGAAAGGGAAAGCTCCGCGCCTGTTCATCACCTCTTATTACGTACAAGGCCGGCCACGTGGATGGATGGATGATGGTTGAGCGCCGGCTGCCCCCATCCTCACGTGTTTGCGCTCTTAGTCAATAGTTCTGTGACAGCATCCACGTGGGCGGCCTTGTACGCAAGAGGAGGTTCTGAACAGGGGGAGTTGTAAGGAAGAAGATTAAAAACGAATTTTGTTTTCTTTCTGTTTTTTCGCTTTGGCGATCTGATATCATGTGACAATATCTAGTGTGTTTTCCATCTGGTGATAGGCTGCTTTGCTTTTCGTCGCAGGTACCTTGAGGGCAGTTGTTGGTGGTCCCCACCACCTCAGAGCGGTATCAGTTGTAGGGCAGTCGTTGATGCTTAACCACAACTGGGGTTAAGGTGGATTATCACTTACTTAGTGTAATCAGTTAGGTAGGGGATTCTGCAGACTGTTGAGGGTTCAGCCTCTACTGATTTGTGAGTACATAGGTGAAACTCCGACGAAACAGTTTGTCACAGCCCCTGGTTTGTTGTCCTCTTCTCCCTCCCTCTCTGCCTACGGTTTACCGTAGGCAGCTCTGTTTGACGATACATATGTATGTATGTATTATATATTGTATATATACTTATGTCACCCAAGTACAAACCGAAGATTGCATTTGCTGACCCGCACGCGCGCGCGATAGAGAGCGAGCGAGCGAGCGAGCGAGCGAGCGAGAGAGAGAGAGAGAGAGAGAGAGAGAGAGAGAGAGAGAGAGAGAGAGAGAGAGAGAGAGAGAGAGAGAGAGAGCATCCTAGTTTTTTTTCATTTTTCAGTCTTTTTGCCTTTCTTGTATTTCTTGTTTTAGTTTTCTCCGTCTGAATGTCTAGGGGTGTCGATGACCTGATGTGCTGTGCTGCTACAACGTTCGTGTGCAATTGACTTCGTTCACCGTAACGTGCATCGTTTTGACGCACTCTGTCACTCTGTCAGCTGGCTTCGCTTTGTTCCGTCTTTCTTCTTCGCTCCGCCTCCGCCTACTGACAGGACATCGACACCCCTAGACCTTCAGACGGAAAGAACAAAAAGAAGAAAGGCAAAAAGACGTCTTTCTTCTTCGCTCTCTTCGCTCCTTGGAAGAGAGGACCGGGGAGAGAGCAGAGTCGAGTATGACCCGTCGTCTTCCCCCTACAATCTTCCCGCGAATAGAGCACACTGTCGTTACCGCTGTCTTTTTTTTTGGGGGGGAGGAACTTTATCGAGAGACAACGATAATGACCGTGCGTTCTATTCGAGGGAAGACGCTAGTATTCTCTCTCTCTCTCTCTCTCTCTCTCTCTCTCTCTCTCTCTCTCTCTCTCTCTCTCTCTCTCTCTCTTTCTTGTCCTCTCGGTGCTGACCTTTCGGATGCACTACTGCCTGTGTCGTGAACCCTTATCTCGGCATCTGTTCTTTTGTCCCCACTCCTTGCTCGTCTGTCTTCAGGTCGTCGTATGGGAGTCGTCTCTCTCTCTCTCTCTCTGTGTGCTTAGGCTCGTCTTCTCTTCCTTTCTCTTTTTTCTTTAGCGTATTCATCTGCTGCTGCTACTTGTCGTCATTTTTTCTCACGTCTCTTTCCTTTTCTGTTTCGGGTTTAGGGTCGAATGGGGGTTTGAATGGGGTTTGATTTCTGGTTGCCGGTAGCCAATCAACCCATTGATTAGCTGATTGGCCATTCAGTGGCGGGGGAGCAGAAGGCCGTGCGCGGTTGACATAGCCGTCAGGGGGGAGGTGAGTTAGAAAGAGGTAGTGCGGTGCGCGGCGCGGGATTGGGCCAAAAGAAAGTCGTGGGGGGGTGATCACGAAGCGTCAGCTGTTCTGTCGATGGGAGGTGAGGTGCTGCCAAGCGACACGCAGCTCAGTGGGGTGTGTCGTGTTGTTGGAAACATCAACCGTTGTGCTATAACGCGCTCTGAACACGGGCATGATGGAGAGATGGTGTGTTTCACTCGTTTCGAATGAATTAGTGCATGGACGGGAAAGATGGATAAAGGAGAGAGAACGAAACGAAAGGACCAAAGCACTGGAGCGCAGTGCGCGCAGTGAAGCACTGGACGCGGGAGGAGGCAGAAACAAAGCTACAAACAGGTGGTGGCAGGAGGACATCAATCGATCAATCAAACTATCAATCAAATCAATCCATCAATCAATCGAATCAATAGATCAATCAATCAATCAGTCAGTCAGTTAAATAATCAATCCATCGATCAATCGAATCAATCGATCAGTCAATTGAGCAGTCAATCAGTCATTCAAGTAATCAATCAGTCGATGGATCAATCGATTAATCAAATCAAGTGATCAATCTGCCAATCAGCCAAGCTACATGGACTGCGACATGGACTGCAGTCATCCATCTGTCGTTCACAGGTCAGTCTATGATGAATCAGTCAATCAGCAAAGCAGTGAAGGCCTGTGCACACTCCCCCCCATCATCAGTGCAGCACTGGACATGGGAGGAGGCTGAAGCGAAGCTACAAACAGGTGGTGACAGGGGTACACCAGTCTATCAACCAATCAATCAATCAATCAATCAATCAATTAGTCAATTAATCAATCCATCGATCAATCGGAATAATCGATGGATCATCAATCAATCAATCAATCAATCAATCAATCAATCAATCAATAAATCAAGCAAATCAATTAATCAATCAATCAATCGATCAATCGATTAATCAAGTGATCAATCGGTCAATCAGTCAATCGGGTAATTGAGTCTTGTCATCCATCTGTCGTTCACAGGTCAGTCTATGATGAATCAATCCATCAGCCAAGCAATCGAGGCATGTGCACACTCCCCCCTTTTAATCTACTCTTGAGGGCTGTTTATCACAGGTTTTGAGAGATGGGTGGGCTGGCTTCTTTGTCCTCTGATTGGTGGACAGCTGTGCTGTATATATTTGTGGTGGTGGTGCCATGACTGCCCTTTTCCCGCGATAGATAATAGATCGTAATGGTCATTCTGCCTGAATCTGGGGCAACTTTCGGTCTAGATACAATGATAATGGACATACGTTTTATTCGGGTGAAGACGGCACTCTTTATTTGCAAAGGCTGTACGGGAGGCAAGGACTCTCAATGCCCTCCGTGCAATCGTTTCTTGCTTCTTTTTTTTTTTTTTTTTTTTTTT